AACATACGCGGTCAAACTCGCACACTGGGCTTGCTTCAATTCGTATAGCTGATCATGCAGCCGATCTTGTAAATCGTTGGGTTCAAACTCGGCTCGCAGCTCTTTTCCAGTTCAATGAGGGTGCTTGGAGACTCACCGCGCGAAAGCCGTTCTTCGTACCAGGCTGCGGCAAGACCACGGAATTTGCCACCATCATGGCAATGCATCGGTGTTGAGTCCCATAGTTTTCTTGGTAATCCACGTTCGTTGCCTTGAGAAATGTCGTAACTTGGTGGATGTATAGACTAATTCTTTCGTCCATAATACTTGGGCATTTTTAATCCTTCAGCTGTAAGCTCTGGTTGTCGTTTCGCTCGTTCCATGTGTCTGGCCATACGCTCGCTCGCTTCCACTTGGGCGGCTTGGGTGCGGGTAAGCATTTCCAACAGCTGTTCATGTCGCTGAAAGGATTCTGCCATTTTGCGCAAAATTTCATCCATCTTCGTTTTTTTGTTTGTAATTCCGGTGAAATTGGATTACTCTACTTCGAGCTTCGATATACTCTTGCTTCAGCCTTGATCTTGCTGGCCTTGTGGTCGGGGATCTGGGCACGCAACTTGTTGATAACCACGCGTTGGTGACGGGTCAGCAGGCAAAGGTCTTCGCGTAACTTAACCGGCAAATCTGGATAATCGAATAATTCGCCGACGTCGTTCGTGGCCGCGAGTTGGGGCTTGCGGGTCGCCTACACTAGCAGATCACTCAGATCGTGTATGGTTTTTGTTGCTGAGACTATCACCAGGCAACGGGTAGCAAGGACCACGTATCAAACCTTTGGAGATGTGTTGTCTCTGCAAACGACCACACAACCGTCCAAGAAGGTTGGCTACATGCGGGTGCGGTTGAGACCTTGGGGGACCTCACTAGGCTAGCGCTTCTAAGCCATACATGCCCTTGAGCCACATCCCCAGGCAAGCATTAGCTTGGGTGCGTCATGGGCCAGGCAGCTAGGATCTGGGTGCGGGCAAGATGGTGGCAAGGCGTCACCCCCACCTGCCACATTGCTACACATTGTGCCCCAGATGGTACTCGTTGTCATGGCGTTATCACAAGTGGACCAACTGAACATCGCCATCGCAGTAGGAATCACGCAAGCCACGATCTTTCTCCTCGCGATGTCACTTGTCGTGCACGTCGTCGGCGACACCAACCTCGGCATGTTTACAGCAGTGCGTTGAACTCGTGTCTGGGACAAACCTTCAACAAAACGTTACCTCTGTCTTGGTGCAGACGTAGTGCTCGATGAAAGGCAATACGAAATCAAAGGTTCGACGCGTCCGAAAATCCACTAACGTACCCGACATCCGACACTAAATACCCGATATTTATGACTAAAAGAGGTACTGGGAAGGACGGAATGCAACGCCCACCGAAGATATTTGTGTGTCACTCTTAGAGTTATCCAATCATACTCAAGTATAAAAATTGGTGACTCTGATTGGCTATAATTTAAATAATGGAAATCAATAAAAGTGTTAGTCGAAAATCCTTCAGGTACCCATAACCTCTTCTAATCAGTTTCACTGTACTAGCTATTGAATGCTGCATTCGGTGATTCAAAATGTGTAATTTAATATCCTGTCGAAGTTGCATTTTCTATTTCATGTTTCTTGGTTGGCTATAAATTAGGTCGAACTTCGTAGTTAATCGGCCAATAGGACAGCTGTATCGTGTATCAACTCGAAGTTAGGGTGAGCGTTGCATTCCGTCTTTCCCAGTAATTCTGTTGCAATTGATCCACTAAATTAACGTTTAATCCTTTACCCAACACGTTTTGATAATTGCGGTCAAATGTCGGACATCAATTACTCTAACAAGTTACGGCTAGAGAATTGAGATATTGTGCTTTTCACCTTTTTTGGCCAATCCAGGTCTAAAACCATGCTTTAATAAAAACTCATCCTAAAATTCCGGCACTCGCCGTGATTTTACGGATGCAAGATGAAGTATGTTTACGGTTCGCGTTGAATTATAACTATTCGTGATGCTTTGACTGGGTAAGAATTGGTGGAGGTGCATGGTTTTATCTTATTCAACTTGTTTTACAATAATCAGCATCGACATGCGTTGGAGATGTGTTGTGCTTGTCCAAGTTTATGGCATTGAAGTTGACGTCGCTCGCCTCATACTTGGATTCTCAAGACGTAGCGTAACAAGATTCAACACGATGTTTACATCTACGGGCAATATGACTAAGTTTACGAAGCGCTCGACGGAGTCACGCTGGCCAACTGAGATCAACGCCTGGGTGAACGAGTACGCCACAGTCCATCCATGCTTCTACATCGAGGAGCTTGAAGACGCACTGCGACACTAGTTTCCGACGCTCAAAAATGTATCTGCGGCATCGATATGTAGAGCACTCTTACATGACTTAGGTTAGACGCGAAAAGGTATTAAAGTTTCGAACATATTTTCAGTATTTATTCGTGTGTAATTAGTCTTCGAACGACGAGCGCGAGAGTCTGCCGATTTTGAAATGCGCGATTACTATCGGCGATTAAGCCCATACTACTCGTACCCTGTCCAGATTGTTTTTGTCCACGAGACTTCCAAAGACGGACGTGATTCGATTCGCAAGTACGCTTGATCGAAGCGCAACAAAAAGGCGATTGTAGAATTACCATTCTCTCGCGGCCAGCGGGTGTCAGCACTAGCGGCATTTACATCGTCCGGATTTTTAGCGTGGGATTATGTGGACGGTATAATATTTTTGTCTTTCCATGTCTTAATTTATATTTATTATTTATTTAGGAAAATTTGATTGTGCTACGTTTCACGACGTCATGGTCAAAAAGATTCTGGCGTATTTGAATCCTTGGCCGCTGCAGCGTTCAATTTTGATTTTGGACAACACAAAGATCCGCATGTACTGTACAAGGAGCTGCAAGACGCAGTTCACAGCCGATGTGCACTGCTATTTTTTTCCCGCCATATTCTCCCCAGCTAAATCCAATTGAGGTGGGATATAGTCTGCTAAAGCGCTGGATTGACAAGTATCCAATTAACAGACGTTGACACACAACACATACAGATGTAGGGGTAGTGGCTCAAAGGAAGGTGGATTCAGAAGTGATCTTAGCTCTAGAACCTCCATAATTATCATCGCCAAAGACATGCATACATGTAAGTTGTGCAACCTTAGCTGCACTGATTGAAGTTTGTCATATCTCTCAATATATGCAACCTTCAAGTAGTGTGTGTAGGATCAAAACAAGGTAGCTATTGGCCCTCGACACACTGAAGTAGTCGAGGGATGTGAAGACTGGAGCTCTTCCAGCTTCAATCATATATATATAGCTTTAACTATGTAACTTCAATCCTTGTCTGCCTATGGCTAACACTCCCACTAAGAGCTCTCTGGTTTCACCATAGCTAGATCTTGCACACCCATCTTCGCCCTTAAGCATGCAAACTGTTGCTGAGCCAGTGGCTTAGTCAGTATGTCTGCAATCATCTCTTTAGATGAGCAATAATTTAAGCTTATTTTCTTCCTTTCAAACAGTTCACGAGTGAAGAGTGTTCGAATATCAATATGCTTTGTACCCTTGTGGTTTCCTGGGTTTTTGACGCAATCAATTGCAGCACGGCTGTCGCACCAAACTGTAATTGGGCGGTTTAACTTTAAACCGATTTCACTCAAAAGTTCGTGAATCCATTCACATTCTTTGCAGCCTTCACTAAGGGCCACTAACTCTGCCTCTGCTGTGGATAGCGCTACGCAGTGCTGTTTAGAGCTTGCCCAGCTGACACAAATCCCTGCCATCCGAATTAAATATCCGGAGACGGATTTACGATCTTTTGACTGACTCGCGAAAGAAGCGTCCGTGAAGACATCGTAGTCTATCTGTACTGTGTTACCATT